AAATAGGATGTACAAGACTACAAATCTTTTTTTTTGGGGGGGGGGGTGGAGAGGAGAGAAGACTACAAATCTTTATGGAAGCAGCCAGCCTCATCTTTCCCCTGCAGGGTGGTTGGTGGGTTTAAACCTCCAGTCTTGTGGTGAGTAGTCCAATGCCTAATCCAGAGGAGCAACAACAAAAACTACCATCAAATTGATGCCAACTTATAGCAACTCCATAACACAGGGTTAGAACTGTCCCTGTGTGTTTGTAGAACTGTAACTCTTAATGGGAATATAAAGCCTTCTTCCCCATGGAAGGGCTATTGGTTTCAAAGTGCTGACCTTGCAGTTAGCGGTCCAACATGTAATCATAACTCACTGCCATCAAGTCAATTCTGACTCATAGCGACCCTATAAGGCAGAGTAGAAAACCCCATCTTTCTCCCTCAGAACTAGCTGGTGGTTTCAAACTGCTGATCTTTTGGTTAGCAGCTGAACTCATAACCACTACACCCCCAAGGCTCCAGAGAGGAACAATAGGGCTCCTTAAATTCCCACTCTACTAATATTTTTATTGTTAGTATATATTTTAACTTAATGAAAATAATTTTAAATTCCTAAGGTACTGCTACATTTAAATCATTGTTCACTTTGATTTACCTACATAATATTAATCTCATGGTTCTTACTCAAATTTTAAAATGTTTTATTATACAGAATTTTAACTATATACAAAAATGGTTTAACAAACCTCCTTATCATCCATGCTTAAACAATTACAAACTCATGGCCAATCTTATGGTCTCTATGCCAACCCTCTTTGGCCTATTCCTGTGTAAATTGAATCAAATGCTTCTGCCTTGAATTTTTATTGAAAGCATGTGTTTTAAGTTACAGAAGGAAGAAATTTTGAATGAAATAAAAATTATCTTTGAGGTGATACGGACTTTGATACCATTCTTGAGACACAATTTGTCCTCGGGGTTCTCTGATGCTGGGATTGGTGGGAAATGGTCCATTTTTCAGATTCACATAGCTATATAGGCCTCTACCATACAGATGCAAACAACAAAAGTAGAATCGAAGCTTCCCACTGAAGTCCAGAGAGGAAAAATGTAGGTCGGTATTATATGACCCATGGGTTAAAACAGAAGTTCAAATAGTTCCAGAAGAGCATATAATTTCATTTTTTGTATGCTTCCATATGTATCTCAAAAAAGGAAGTGAACTGTTAAAATGCAACATTGTCACCCTTTAGCAATACAAGAGTACAATTTTTTTGAAGTTCTTTTCTGTTTATCCAGTACACATGTAAGACTGAAAACTAGAAAGGTGCATTGCAAATTCCAAATAATCATAGTAAAAATTTTTTCTTTAGGAAATACTTTTATTTATATTAAGGGATTGCTTGTTTTCTTCCCAGAGTCAATATTAATTCTTAGAGACATTCATGGTTTTTTGGATGACAACATTCTGAGTGGTGACACAGATTTGCAATATGGAAGAAGAAATATTCTAGTTAAAATAAATAGTGATGTGCGAAGCCTTACTTTTATATTGGCTCTCAAAAACTTACTGCCATTTAGCCAATATTTATAAATAGGGTAAAATTGCCCCATGAGCTTGCTAAACTGAGACTCTATGGGAGCAGAAAGCCCTGTCTTTCTCTGTTGGAGTGACTGGTGATTTCAAACTGGCCTTGTAGATCAGATCACAGCCTTACCCGTGACCACTGATGCCACCAGGGCTCCTCTGATATTGGCTAGTTCTAAGGTATTAGTAGTACTAAGGTATTAGTATAAACACCATCAAGCACAGATTACACTGCTGTGTACCACTCCTTCCAACCTATTTCCTAATCTTCAAAAACAAAAAAAAACCTTTAAAGGGCAATCTTTGTTTTTTGTTTTTCAGTTCATAATACACAAAAAGGACCACGCTGACGGGGTAACTGTCTGTTCTTTGATGGATGGAATAAATGGCTGGCTTTACCACTTTCAAAATTACCTTGAATTTGATGCAACTTGTATTTTATTTTTATCTCTTAATTCCACTTTTCCATCAACTTTTTAAAGACCTAAAAACCCTAACCATGAACAATAAAAGGGGAAAAGGAAAGTGAAAAAATGAGGGAAAGGTCACAGCTGGGTTGCAGCAAATTTTTAATTAAAATTATACTGTATGCATCACACAATTCATGAAAATGGTATTACTGATACTAAAGTTATATCATAAATATAACACAAAGAAAACTACAGATCAATATGTATACAGATGAGATAAACTTCAACAACAAAATGATCTCATAAACATTAAAAAAAAACAACAAACAGAACCACACACCATGACCAAATAAGAGTTTATCCCAAGAATGTTTCATGAAAGAATATCAATTGGTGCAATAAACAATATTAATGAACATACTGAGCAATGTTTTGTTTTACATAAGGTCATTAATGAATCGAAACTGACTCAAGAACAAAAACTACAAGATAGTAACAATGAATACAGAAAAAGCATTTGAAAAATTCAACCAGGAGTAAAAAGGTACATTTTCTCAACCTTAAAGGTCATCTACAAAAGCCACAGTTATCAATACACTTAATGGTAAATGACTGTGCTTTCCATCTAATATTGAAGACAAGTGCGTTCCCCTCTTGCTAAAATTCAATTTTGTATTGTAGATTCTAGTCAAGATAACTAGGAGAAAGGTAGAAGAAATAATATCCAAATTAGAAAGGAAGAAATGAAATTATCTCTATGAATAGATCACATGATCTTTTACCTAGAAAATACTAAGATGCACGCGCGCGCGCACACACTCCACAACTCTACTCAAGATTATAGAGTTCAGCAAGATTCTAGGATGCAAGATCAATATATAAGTATCAATTGTACACTTGCAATGACTAATCTGAGAATTAAAAATTTTAAATTAATTATATGTCTATAGTATCAAAAACTAAAACATTTAAGAATAAATTTAAGAAATGTAAACAAGAAACTACAAGTATATTGTTTGAAGAAATAAAAGAGGACCTACATAAATGGAAAGTAATCCAGGTTCATGGATGGGACAAATTGTTAAAATGGTAACAGTGTACAAATTGGCCTATAGAATTGAATACAATTATATATTACAGAAAATCCCAAAGAATCCACAAGAAACCTAACACCTAATAAATGAACTAGCAAAGATGCAACATACGAAATCAAGGCAAAAATTAATTGGGTTTCTATACAACAAACAATAAGCAATCTAAAAAGGAAATTTAAAAAAAACCAATTCCCTGTTCAATGACATATAAAAGAATAAAATATCTAGGAATAAATGTAACCAGAAAAGTAAAAGACTCAAAGAATGAAAGTGATAAAACATTGCTGAAAGAAAATTTTAAATCCCTAAATAAATGAGAAAACATTTGGTGGAATTTCATGTTGTCAGTAGTATACAAAGCAATTCCAGTAGCCTTCCTTGAAGAAATGGGAAAACCAATTCTAAAATTAAAATGAAATTGCAAGGGACTCTGAGTAATCAAAGTAACCTTGACAGTGGTGAGGCTGGGGACCTACTAGAATGGTTCATACTTCCGAATTTCAAAACATGCAAAAGTGATCAAAACAGTCCAGTACGATGGTACATTACTAAGTTATATCATATCAGGGCCAGAATGGGATCAAACTCTTAATTTTCAACTAGGGTACTGCTGTCCAATGCAATGTAGAAAAAGGTAATTCTCTTCAATAATTGGTGTAAGGACAACTCGAACTCCATATAAAGAAGTTGGATCTGTATTTCACAACACATATGAAAATTAACTAAAAATGGATTAAGGACCTAAGGTTAGAAATTAAACCATAGAAATCTTAAAACAAATCACAGGAGTAATATTTCAAGACATATCCTGTTTTCCCAAAAGTAAAACATCCCCCGAAAATTAGACCTACTTACAGTTTTCTCTCTTGCTAAAATATAAGGCATCCCCCTAAATATAAGACCTCCCCAAAAATAAGCCCCCACACCCACACACCCATACCCCCCCCAAGCTACTGTAACTCTGGACTGTAGCGGCGGGCGCGCAGTCAGAGCAGACAGGAAGTGTGAGGTCTCTTTTAATAAAACAATAAACAATAAATGTGTACCGTATTCTTCATAAAAACGTAAGACATCCCCTGAAAATAAGACCTAGCGCATCTTTGGGAGCAAAAATTCATAAAAGACACTGTCTTATTTTGGGGGAAACAGAGTAGTTTTAAACAATGGGTTCTTGGATATGATGCCAAATGAATGATCAACAACAACAACAACAACAAAAAAAATATATATATATATATATATATAAACTGGACTTTATCAAACCAAAATTTCTATCTACATAACAAGTAGACCTCTAAAAAGTTGTGGTCAAAGGTTAAGTAGGTACCCAAAGTTTGCTCTGTGCTTTCTTTATATTAATAACATGGTTCTATTGTCTAAAGCAGTGAACTCAAGTGACAGCACCAAACCCAAGCCAAACCCACTGTGGCTGAAATGATTCTGACTCAAAAGGACCCCAACAGGACTTGGTAGAACTGTTTCATGGGTTCCCAACACTGTAAATCCTTAAAAGCACAGACTAATGGACTTGCACCACCAACTTGTGAGTGAGCAGTCCAAAACTTACCTTACGGTGTTCACCATGGCTTCACATAACCAATGATTTACACACAGTAAAAAATAAAGTTTCCCAAAATGTAGTGGAATGTGGGGACAGAAAAGCGCGCACACATGCGCGTGCGTGCAGGCACACATACATGCACACACACAAACCAGTTTTGGAACATTACCTTCTGAGAGTATATAGAAAACCTGGTCCTCAGAGTTCATACCCTTCTACATAAACCTGTTTCCTCACTTAATGTGATAATCCTTTCATCCCAATTTACACTCAGCCCTTCCATTAAAACAGACCAACTTCAGAAGAGCAACATTATCATCCCCTTCCCAGGTCCCTTCCTACTGCAGCTGAAAGTCTTACCTGGTTCCGGGAGCACAGACTGGGGGGTCAAACTGGGAATTCCTGGCTCCTTTTCCACCTCCTCAACGTTGGCATTGGTTTTATCACAAACATTCAACTGTGGCCCAACAGAATCTAGGCAGCCTGTACTATTTGGATTTGTCAGTGCATCTTCCAGTATACTCGTGGAAGTAGATCTATGCTCAGGTGGGTCATCCCCCTTCTGCACAGGGTCACCAGGAAGTAAGACCCCAAAGGCACCCTCAGAATTTTCTTTCTCCCTAAATCTGTTAGTGCGCTTACGAGGTTTAGTGCGCCTTTGGTTTAAATGCTGCCACCGCTTTTTAGGCACCACTTGATGTACACCGTTATGTTCATCATTCTCACTGTGCACTTCAGAGTCCAGCTCTGGGCCTTTACTCTTTTCCAAAGACGGGGCATTTTCTGAAATTTTATCAATGTCAGACTCTTTGACCTTGTTGTCAAAATGAACATCAGAAAGATGGGTGTTTTCTTCATTTGTTATGTGGCCCTTTAATTGAAAGTGCTCTTCTTTACCAGCATCTTCTTCCTCACCCTTTGCAGAGACACTCAGTGAGCCTCCACCCTCTCTATCTCCCTGCAGTGCAGCCTCCAGAGCTTCTGGAAGCCTGTTCGGTTTTCTTTTGCGTTCTGTCTTTAAGGCTTTCCGGTTCATTGTGTTCTTTCCCAACTGGGTTGAAAAACCATCGTCCAATTTGGATAATAGCTTTGATCGCCGACAGTTGCGCCTAGTAACACAGTTTGAACGACTTTTGCCAGAAGCACAAAGGTCTCTTTTCTCAAACACTAAGTTAGGTAAGGAGGTAGACAACTCCCCAGGCAGTGCTGCGGAGTCACCCCCAGTAGGACTGGGATGGGCCGAGTCCCGAGTGCCACTTTCATTTTTTTCTGAATTGTGGGTGGAACCTCCTGTAACCAAGACCTTAGAAGCCCCTGCAGGACTGGTAGTAGAACAATCCACAAGACCAGGACTACGATAGGAGACCAAATTTTGAGATGTCATCAACCGTTGCTCCTTGGTCTTACTATCATGCATATCTTTCAACATCATTAGCAATGTGCTGAACTTGTAGTCTGGTTCCAGAGGCACGTGACTCTGGCCCGAGGCAGAAGTGTAAAGTAATGGTTTGGGTGGTCTTGGTGTTCCCGGGTCACTGACATCCTCACTTAAGGATCGGTAGGAGAGTTCCTTCAACTCAGACAGAACATGCTTCACCACTGCCGTTTCGATGTCACTAGAATCCCTGGTTTTCTCATGCATGTTGCTCAGTAGTTTTAGCCCATCTGCTTTTCCACTTTTGGAAATGCTAGCCAAAGGAGAGCCTTTGGGATCAGAAGAGCAGCATTTCAAACTGCAGTCCTCATTACTAACTGGAGGTTCTACCACAACTGGGTCTTCTTTGTGCTTGCACTTTATACTTCGGATCTTAGGCGGTTTGCTTTTTGACTGTAACAGAATTTGATTCCCGGGTCCACTCTTTGCTAGGGAGTTCTCACTGGAAACGCTTGATGGCGTGTTGAATTTTGGAGGGAGGCTGTCATTTCTAAAATCAGGTGGAGCTTTGCAGATAAAGGTGGACACTTTAGGATCAGAGCTACCCGGAGAGGTCTCGGTTCCATGCTCTGCTGTTTTAGTATAATCCATTAAGTGGTCTGTATGTGAGTTGGTAATAAGAGACTTCTGCTTTGCTTTTACCCTACTATTTGTAGCAGGAAACCGAGAATACTTTACCTTTTCATTTTTCTGCATGGATAACATGCTCTCTGTTCTATCAAAAGTATCTGTAATTTCTAGGACACTGTTGTCAGACTCTGAGCTATGATCCAGAGGATCCAAATCACTGCTTCCATCATCAGAAGTGGTACAGATGCTAATAGAATCACTGCGCTTTTCCTCATCACCTGCTCCAATATAGCAGAGCTGGACCTTTGAACTGCAAACCAGACCTCTTTGGGGTTTCTTCTTCTCCCCAGAACATTTAGAGATCAATGCAGCCTCAGGTAAGCCCAGTAAAGAGTCACAATTTGAAGTCTCAAAATCTTTCTTTGCAGTGTTTTTTCCACAAGAAGAAAATAAGAAACTTCTCGGGGTGGGGCTGGATCCTGCGAGGCTATTTGCTATCCTGGAAAGTTCATTAGAGGCCTGCTTATCGGATACATCGCCAGAAATGAAGTTTAGGCCAAGGTTCTCTGGAATCTTTCCCCTCCGTTCATCCTTATGTGCTTCAAATTGAATGTGGCTCTTTTTCACACTAGTCCTTTTTGGATTATCAACGGTCTTTCTTACTCGTGATTTAGCACAAGGCTTTTCCTTCTCATCTGCAGAATGTTCAGAGTCAAAAGCCAGAGAATTCAAACATCCATTAAGCAATAAATCATGTTCTGATTCAGGGTCATTGGGACAGTCCTCGAATGGCATATCCTCTTCGCTGTCCAACTTGATTGAACTTCTGACACATTTTCGGTTCTTTGAGCCTTTGGGATCATCATACTGTTCAGCAAGACCAACACTGGCTTCCCATTTACTCAAAATTTTCTGAGGAACCTTAAATTTAAAAGAAAGTGGGGATCAGTTATCAAAGAAATGGAAAGACAACCAGAGTGATAATTAGTAAACATCTCTCACTTCTCTAAGCTTTGCTAAGTCTTGTTGTACTTCTCTAAGGTCTCATAATGGGACTGGTCAGGTGGTTAGTCTCCACAGTTCATCCAGAATTTCCTATATCTAGTGTGCTCAACACTACTATTAACACTACTATAATCTATCAATAAAGGGTGTATTCATTCACCAAACCGTCCATCACCCTTGTCTCTTTAAGCATAAAATAGACTGCGATATAATTTAAACCTAAAGATCACTTTTCAAAATCAAGGAATATTCAGACCTTTCTTTTCATATCACACCACAAATCCTAATTCAGATTTGATTTCTCCTTGATTTATGAAGGACAAACACATGATCAGTTGCACAAAAGAGAAAGCAAAACCTTTAAAAACTCTGCTCCTGAGGGACCTAAAATTTAACCTATAGTTATCACTGAATCCATGGCTAACCACAACTCTTTACATACAATAAATAAGTTGAGACTATAGCCAAACTATCTCCTGAGCTTTATCATGTAATTCAGATGGGTATAACAAATCACATATGCCCTTTATGAGTGTGTGTATGCTTATTTATACCATGAGGACACTAAAGCTCTGTGAAATACACACAATTTTCTAGAATCTCATATATACCCCTAGCTTCCTACAACACCTAGAAGTCAGAGCTTTAATTACCAGTTAGTATTCACAAATATTTTAATATTGTAAGGGATTTTGCAGAGTATATAAAAATTCAACTCACTGGATAAGTAGAGTGCTCAGAAAAATGCAATCAACTGACCATCTGATTTATTTCAAAAACATACACACACTTTTGCACACTTAATTCTCCTGTGAAACCAAAAGCTAAAAACCAAACTCACTAACATCGAGGCATCTTCTCATAGTGACCCTAAAGGACAGGGTGGGACTCGCCACATGTGAGTTTCCCAAGACTGTAACTCTTTACGAGTCTTTCTCCCTCGGAGACACTAGTGGTTTCAAACTATCCACCTTGCAGTTAGCAGCCCAATGGTAACCACTATGCCATTCAGGGCTCCTGCCTATGACTAAAATAAATAGATTTTAGAAAAAATGAAAGCCCTAGTGACCTCTAAAAAGAGATCTAGTAAAATCCACATAATCAACATTTTCACACAAAAGCACTCTGATACCTCCCCACTAACCAATTAGCCAAAATGAGAAAGGATGCAATTAGCCTGTTCATCCCAACAGGGACAGATACTGATCTTTTGAAAATCAACCATGTGCCGGATAAGTGTTTCACACTTATATCTAACCATCACAGCAGCTCTATAAGATAGATGCAATTGTGCTGGTTTAAAGAACACACTGAGGCTTAACGCAGTACAGTTTTAATTGGTAGGGGGTGGTGTATATTGCCTCTTACTTGTGATTTATTAAAAACCGTCTCCAAGTATGTAAACACATAGAAGTAGAAAACAGCCACAACTTCCCCTCATAGAATGGACTATTAACAAATGTTCCAAGAAAATAAGCCAGTTTTATGACTAGCCCAATTTTAACACAAAACATTAGACAAAAGGAAGAAAACCAGAATGTTTTTCATTAAAATACAATCAGGTAAGAAAGATGCCAGCATAAAGATGAAAATACAAAGACAAAATAATAAAGCACATAAACATACAGACACACATCGTATCTTTCTCATATTTACAAGAAATAGCTAATCCAAAAAGTAGAATTTTTCATTATGATGATCCTTCTCTTATACTTCATATATCCTACTACCAAAGGATAGCTTATCTCCTGAAATCTAATACTTCCTCTCTATTTAACACTCCACAAACACATAATTTATAATTTTTTTTGTTTGTTTGTTTACCTTATGTCTATATTCTTTTTCTTTTTGCTTCCCTCTTCTCCGAAGGACAGGTAGCTCTTCAAATTGATGTCTGCCTTCAAACATGACGATTGCTTTTCCGGCCACCCAAGCTTTCTCAGAAGGGTCTCCGAAAGCTTCCACATAGTATTGTCGGTAGGGCCTCCGGTTGGAAACTAGATAAGGATAAGAACCAGTGCTATTACTTTTAAAAAGATGAATGGTCTTCATTAACAACCACATCATAGTTGCCATAGAAGCATCTGATTATAATCAACATACTGAAATGCCTACAGAACAAGAAATCCGAAGGCCAAAGGAAAATGATAAATATTCAATTCACGGGACAAAAAACATGTTAAAAGTTTATGAAAAAGTTCAATGGTTTCGTCTGGTGATGTGTTACATACCCCCAAACAGAGGTTAATTAGCTGATCCCAAAGCAAATTAATACAGCAGCCAACTTATTAACCATCATTGGTAGAAAATATAGAAAAGGAATATTAAGCTGCAGCACCATAAATATAAATCAAACAGAAAAATCTAAAAACATGTAGCTAAAATATAGTGAGGAGGAAATGTTTCAACCCAGTACCATTTAAATAGATATGTCAGGGCAAGTACTCTGTTATGTTCTACTGAGTGCATATACATGAATTCCTCACAACAACCTTAAGTAAAACGTTATCCCAATAAAATTCAATGACTTCAGAGAAGGCAAAAAAGGGAAAACTAGTGAAATACAGGCTTCCTGGGAAAAGTGCAATTGGATATAGTTTTAAAATAGGGAAATGGGAAGAAGAAAAAGAAAACTCAACAGCAATAAAAAAAACTTGCTAGTTTACTTGGTTTTCCAAAGTATTAGGATTACCATAACCAAAGATAAAGCCATGCAAATTCAATACAGGAAATATTATAATCAGATTTATCAGTTTATGTAACTTGCATACATTTAGCGCTTTCATAGCAGACAAATAAAACACCAAATAATTATATCCAAGGTGATAAAAGTTTGACAAGTTGGTTTTCTTATATAAAATTCCCCATATAATTAATCCCCTTAGAACATCCTACTGCAACCTACTGCAAAGAAAATAATCTACATATTTCTTCCCAAAAAGTAGAAAAATAAGACCCAGAACAAAAGCACACTCAAAGTGAATGGGGTTGGGGTGGGGGAGAGCGTGGAGTGGAGACCCAATTCCCATCTGTAGACAATAGGACATCCCCTCACAGAGGGGTCACAGGGAAGAGATGAGCCAGTCAGGGGCAGTATAGCACCAATGAAACACATAACTTTCCTCTAGTTCTTTGGTGCTTCCTTTCCCCCACTATCATGACCTCAATTCTACCTTACAAATCGGATGAGACCAGAGCATGTACACTGCTACAAATAAGGGCCCGCAACACAGGCAATCCAGGATAGATAAACCCCTCAGGGCCAACAAGGAGAGTAGAGATGCCAGGAGAATTAGGGGAGGGTGGGGGGAAAAAGGGGGAATTGATCACAAGGACCAATCTAGAACCCCGCCCAAGGGGGACGAATAACCAAAAAGTGTGTGAGGGGTGATAGACAATGATGTAAGATATGGAAATAATAATCTATAACTTATCAAGGATTCGTGAGGGAGGGTGAGCGGGCAGGGAAGAGGGAAGAAATAGGGAGCTGATATTAGGGGCTCAAATGGGAAGAGAATGCTTTGAAAATGATGATGTCGGCATGTGTGCAAATGGCTTGACACACTTGATGAATGTATGAATTATAATAAAAGATGTAACAGCCCTCCAATAAAAGTACTAAAAAAAGTAGAAAAAGCCTACACTTCCTTCAGTATGACATACATACTTAAGTAAGAAAGAAGAGCATATATAAACTGATTTTCAGATCAAAACTGACATAAAGGGCTATGTCTATTTTCAAAACACCTTATTCATAATTAGAAAAAAGCCAAAGTATCAAGCAAATGTCGATGGTAATTTCTTTTGTAAATTGCTATTTCAAAATGTATAGCCAAGGCACAATGAGGACCTTACCTAGCAAATAATTCTCACATAAACTCAACTAGCACAGACTACTTATTTAGGATACACAGGCACTCTATAAGAAATAGAAAGCAACTTCTAATAGATACAAAACAGACTATGGTAACTGCAGTAATAGAAAATGTTAAAAAAAAAAAAAAAGAAGAGTAGAAGCATGAATTAGATCAAGATTAGGGCCCCTATACAGAAAATTTAAAGGTAAATAGGTGTTAGGGAGTGTATTGCAGAATAAGGACCCAGGATCTTCCAAAAAGAAGGAATGAATAATACAAAATGAACTAAGAATACTAGAAAACTAAGTAAAGTAAGCAGGAGCCAAGCCTGGAGGAGGATGGAAGCCACCTTAAGAACATGGCCAATACTCTGCTGGCCTCATTAATCGGGAGAACTACATACTAAATCTGTAATGTTGGAATGAAACACACACACTCAGGTGGTATTACATGCCGACCCATGTACCACAGACCTGCACCATCTTCACAGTGAGTCTTATGCTGGAGCCCACCGTGGTAGCCACATGTCAATCCATCGTGTCAAGCCCCTTCTTTCTTTACCAAGCATGATGCGTTTTCCAAAGTCTGGTCTCTCCTGGTAATATTTCCAAATTACATGAGACAAAGTCACACGATTTCTGCCTCTAAGGAGCACTCTGGCCACAATTCTTCCAAGAGAGAGTTGTTCTGTTTGCAGTTCAATATTCTTCACCAGCACTATAATTCAGTTATCAATTCTTCTTCAATCTACCTTATTCGATGACCACTGTTCATCGCGGAATAATTCACAATCACAAGTTGGAAACAATCCAAATTCTCACCAACGGACAAAAGGATCAAAAACTGTGGTACATACAAGCATACAATGGAGTACAGCACATCCCTAATAAGCAGTGATCAATGTATGAAGCACAGCACTGCATGGGAAAAAGTGGAGGAAATAAAGTAAGCCAAGCACAAAAGGAAAGTACACCATGAGTCCACTAAGGTAAGCTTAAAAAATGCAAAAGGGACATAGAAGAAAAGCTACTATATGCATACATTCCTAGGGTGAGGTACAGGTACTATGGCGGGAGCCAAACCCAATCCAGCGATACATATGGCAGACAACTAGATAGGAGGGGGGAAAATAAAAGATATGGGTAGCAGGGGAACAGGGCACTAATTTACCCAAGAGGAGGGTTTGTTTATATCTCTACAGGAGGGACTAGGCTTCAACATGGTGTGCCAAGACATGGCCGGCCCCAATCCCAACCACATGGACACACCCCCTGCCCCCGAAGAAAGCACCAGAAGAGCACTGAAGCTACAGCTCAGGGAGAAGGGCACATCTGATCAGAACACATCGGAGAAAACAAAGAGGGAAGGAAAGAGTGGAACACATCCTGGCCCACCAAGCCCGAAGTACGACAGTCCTGCTCAGAGCAGCCAATGCACAGAGAGGACTATAGGGCAGGCCCCACCACGAGACACAGACATATGTCCATGTCCCTCACTGACCCATAGGGCTACGAGAGACAACACTGGAGACACAGGACAGGAATTATGCCTGATCTGACCCCATCACACTGGGGTGAAACTCTAAGAGAATGCAACAGAGCAGCAAGGTGAGCAAGGCAATGAAGTCCCCAGGGAATACAAAAAATAGACTTTGGGGCCAGGGCATGGTGACCCATCAGACTCAACTGGAAAACACTCCTAAAGGTCAACAAACAGGCCTGGAACTATTAATAGGCTTTTCTTTTTTTGGTGTTGGTTTTATTGTTGCTGCTGCTACTTTGTTGTTATTTTGTGCTTATTATTCACTGCATGTCTATCTAGATAAGATAGGCAGGATAAACAATCCAGGAGAAAACAACGGGACCAACAGTTCAGGGGACATGGTAGAGGGAAAGGCGGTGGAAAAGAAGGGGGTTGTCAACCAACATAAAAATCGATGGCAAGGAGGGTATAGGATGTCTGGTGGGGCTTGATTAGGGGCAGTGTATTCGAGAGAAATTACTGAAACCTGGAAGGCTAAACATGATAGTGGGACAAAAGGAAAGTAAAAGGAAATACAGCAAAGAACTAGGAGGTAAACGGCATTTATAGAGGTCTAAATAGAGGCATGTACACATGTAAATATATTTATATATAACGATAGGGAAATAGAGTTATGTACATATATTTATAGGTGTAGAATTAAGGAAAGAGATGGC